TTTAATGTATGCTGATGAAACAGGCTGTTAGTTTAATGTATGCTGATGAAACAGGCTGTTAGTTTAATGTGGGCTGATGAAACAGTCTGTTAGTTTAATGTAGGCTGATGAACCAGGCTGTTAGTTTAATGTAGACTGATGAACCAGGCTGTTAGTTTAATGTATGCTGATGAAACAGGCTGTTAGTTTAATGTATGCTGATGAAACAGGCTGTTAGTTTAATGTAGACTGATGAAACAGGCTGTTAGTTTAATGTATGCTGATGAAACAGTCTGTTAGTTTAATGTAGGCTGATGAAACAGGCTATTTTTGTATGTAGTTTGATGAAACAGGCTATTTGACGTAGGCGGATAAAACGTAGGCTGATGTAGGTTTAATTCCTTAATAGCCGATAACGTAGGTATCCGACGGTGCCAAAAAGCAGAAACCCTGCTATCATAAATCCAATGATATATAAATATTAGAGATCCTCCTGAGAAAATGCCGAAAGGCATAACATTTTACACTCTCCCCACGGATCCATGACATACCCTGCCACATGCGTCTCAGCGGAGCATGAGGGCTCTCCAGCACCCTGTTGCTTGGTTGAATATTTTAAAATAAATTGCGTTAAAAGTCCAGCTGATCAAGTCCATGACAGTAATTTATGATTTGGAAGATGTGTAAATATAAGCTCCGATACATAGGACAAAGAGCAAAAAAGCAGGAGGAAGGCAGGAGAGGGAAGAAAAGCATCCGTCTTGCTCGAGAGCGAGTGAGAAGAAAAAAAACAATAAAAGAAACTTAAACTTAAAAACTTTAAACAAAAAAAAACCCCTGATTTCTACCAACTTAATGATCATAATTTCACCTTTTTCCTTCCTTCACCAGTTTTTAATCTTGAAATTGGAAAGGCCAGCGGTCGTTCAAAGCATCACCTTTGGGAAATATGAGAAGACTCACGTGTGCAACCTCAAGAAGTTCAAAGTGTTTGGTGGGATGAGTGAGGAGAACATGACGGATCTCCTCTCCAGGTGAGATGTCCAACTTTTTCCACTGCAGCTTTCTGTGTGAATGCAGCAGAGCTGCAGCTGTTTGTGCTTCTGTGTGGGTAGGGGGGTTGTTGTTGGCCTGGGTCAAAGTTCTTTGTCTCTGCCATGGATTTCCATCATCTATAAATAGTCTGCAAATAAACAAAAACGTGTTTTGTTGTAGCATTGTTTCCAATCTAATGATACAGGAATTAAACTGACACTGCTTTCAACCAATAAAGAGAAGTAGAGTCTCAGTTTGAGCCAGTCATAGCAGAGCAGGGTGGGGCCTGTCTGCTTCTCAGTGAGCAGCAGAAAAGCTGCAGGTCTAAGGGAGAGAAATGTGTGCAGTCTTTCTCTCACAGTGAGAGGCTGTTTCTGCTGCTTTGTCTAAATAAATATTAATGCTAACGGACAAGTATATATATGTCCCAGATTATCGCAGAGATGTGTGTCTCCATTTATCTTTAATCCCCCCCACAAACTAAAAGTTCTCTGTGAGAGTCAGTTTCAGGTGTTTGTAGTTTATCATAAATATTTAAAAAATAAATTTCTACATGGTACTATAGCATTAACACGGACTTGTCTGGATGTTCTAAACTTGATTATATTTAAAATCATACTGAGAGCTAACTGTACTGTGTGTCATTTAATAAAGGATCAAATACTGGGATACTAAACACTGTTTAACTACCTAATGGAAACATATATAAGGTAAAGAGTATTGGTCCAAGCCCTGAACCTTGACAAACTCCGTAACTAACTTTGGTGTATGATGAAGATTCATTTTTTACTCTTAAAAAAAAAAAAAAAAAAAAAAAAAAAAAAAAGTAAAATCTGGGCCTCTGGACGTTCAAAAAAAACCCCAAAGCAAAGCAACAAAAATAATGTAAAAACGTTTCGTCTCTCCTCTGAAAGACTTCCTCAGTCTGAGGTGCTGTATTCAGCTCAGTCTCTTAAATAGCACCTTCTCAGAGTGGATCAACCAGTTTTGCTGCTGACAACCAAAACCAGCTGATCACATGCTCAAGAAGGACCATCAGCCTAACAATGGATCATTAGCACCTGATGGCTGTTTACTGTTCAGAGGGCTGAGTGATACTAGCAATCACAGCATTGTAAGAGGGGGACAGTTGAACCTGGAGGCTCCACCCCTGTTTAACATGACAAAAACATCATCATTCTCCCAGCAGACAAAGGAAGGTGCACAGTGATTTTGAACCAGAAAGACTATCATGAGAAAGTTATGACACTCCTTAGTGACTTAAACACTTATGAACCTCTGAAAAGAGATCCAGGAAGTGGCTACAAGAAGAAGTTGATAGATTGCTTGAAAATTTTTGGAGCAGGACAAGGCTATTGACCGTTTTCTGTACCACAGACTGTACCCAGGGGAGGTCACACCTAGTCTGTATGGTTTACCTAAAATCCACAAACAAGGTGTACCTTTAAGACCAACTGTTAGCATGATTAACTCTGTCACTTACAATGCTTCCAAATAGCTGGTATCTGTACTCATCCTGACAAGGTTCTGTTTGGATCTGCACAACACCAGACTCAAAAATGGCTTTAAAAGATTTATTTTTAAAGCAGCTTCTGGTGGAGGTCTGGGTCCCAGTGGAGGTTCAGTCGGGAGAGAGGGACAGGCTAGTGACTATGAAGTGGGTGAGGAGTTTTGAGACTCGCTGTGAATTAGTCTCTAACCTTCTCAGTCTGTGGCGTGGCAAGAACAGGAGAAGCGCTGAACTTGGTGGCATCACTGTAGCAATGAGAGCTGCAGCAGGCCAACAGAACAAGGAGCAGCGTGTTGTCCATGGAGGGCAAGTCCTGAAGCAGGGTCCAGAAAACTTAGCAGGGGTCATTAACAGGCGATCAGAGAGCTGGTACCAGAACAAAGAGAGATCCGAAGGCATAGTCGAAGGAGGAGAAGAAAAGGGTCAGTAAATACCGTGGTCAGATGAAGCAGACTAATCCAGAGAGGGGCAAGGCGACGAGTCAAGGAAACAAGGCTGAGGTTGTGGTCAGGAGTCAGTGTTACGACCGGCTCAGACCGAACATATTTAAGGGACACAGGACACCAAAAGAAGGTTTAAAAATAAAACTTTATTAAACCTAAGTTTTATAAATCACTCCGGGCAGCAGGCGAAGTCTTCGTGGGCTCCTCCCTCCTGGACTGGAGAGCACCTTCTTCAGGACCCGTGTCACCAAACAAAAAGAAAGTAAAGTAATAAAACGAAAGGTGGACCAGGTGAGTTTGGCAAAAAAATATAACGCCGCCTGAGCAGGGCCAACCCTGTACAGGGTCGTCGAAGCCTCACAGACAGCGGACTACCTGTCCAAAAGATGTCTAGGAGTAAAGAAAAAAGAAGACGAAAACAGGACTACCAAATCTCACCCAGTCAGAGGGCTTTAGTCTGAATGACTACAGCAAACGGGAGGAAAAACAAAACTGACCCAAATCGCAGGACCGTCCACGGTCAGCAAAATCACCTCCCTGAACAATAAACAGAAACATCTAAACGTCCACAATCACACAGCTTAGGTCCCTCTACCTGAGCTGAACTAGGCTTCCACAAGCACACTCAAGGTCTAAAATGCATATTAAGCACCCAGGCCTAAATCTCAAACAAAAAGCACTCAGCAGCTCTTTCATATCTCCTCAACAGGAGCTTACCTCATAACAAGACAACAAGGGTGGGCGGAGAACACCCTAGTACCAAACAGCACTGCAGCAAGCAGCACCACCACCACCACCTCTGAGTTCCTCAAGACTCCACACTCTAAGAACCACACTCTGAAGCTTATATAGGAGCTTCAGTCAGAACTCCCAAGCTGACTGCAATTAAGCTGATTAAAATAGAGGCGTGACCAAGAAACAAAACTGCAGCTCATGTACAAAACTTAGAAGGTGTCACTAGGGGCACCCTAGGGTACATAACAGTCAGAACAAGGAATCGCTGGATATCTACTGGCAAAAAGCTTTCAATAATCTGGCACTGAGTGAGAGTGTTGCTGGGCTTATAAAGAGAGCAGAGCAGGTGGAACTGATTAGAGTTGATTGCAGTGGCTGAGCAGAGGAGGTGTGGTACAGGGAAACATGAGCTGAGGAAGGGTGACAGGCATTCCTAGATGGAAACATGAAAACTAAAACAAAAACAGTGGAAGGAAAGGGTAAAAATGTGACGCATCCCTTTTAGTTGGCAGCTCAGAACACCGTGGACTTTGTGGATAAGGTGAGGGATGTCATCATGGAGACTGATGAAACAATGGTCTCTTTTGATGTCACATCACTCTTTACGTGCATTCCTGTTGATGATGCAGTAGAGGTGGTCAGTTTAAGATTAAAATCAGACACCACTCTGAGCAGCCGGACCACACTTTCCACAGAACTGGGTCAACTCTTTAAACTGTGCCTGCAGTCAACCTACTTCACATATGGGGAGCAATATTATAGGCAGAAACATGGGTGTGCTATGGGGTCTCCAGTTTCTCCTATTGTTGCCAACCTGTACATGGAGGAGGTAGAAAAGAGAGCCTTGACGTCCTTTTCAGGGACACCACCAAGTCATTGGTTCAGGTATGTTGACGACACCTGGGTTAAAATTAAATCTCAGTAAGTCCAACATTTTACTGACCGCATCAACTCTGTGGATAAATACATCAAGTTCACACGAGAAGATGTAAAAAATGGCTGGTTGGCTTTCTTGGACTGTGAGGTCTCAGTCTTTGATAGAGGACATTTGCAAACTGAGGTGTACCACAAACCCACCCACACAGACCAGTATTTGCAGTTTGACTCCCATCACCCTTTGGAGCACAAGTTAGGAGTCATCAGGACTCTGTACCACAGAGCAGACAGCGTCCCCACTAGCTCGGGAGCCAGGCAGAAGGAGAAATCCCACACAAGACAGGCTCTAGAGCAATGTGGATATCCTAACTGGGCCTTCCTGAAAGCAGAGAAGAAACCCAAACAGGACTCCAGTCAGCCATCAGGTGAAAAGGAGGAACCCAGACCAAGACCAGTGGTCATTCCATATGTTGAGGGGGTATCAGAGAAACTGAGACGTTTATTTTCTAAACATAACGTCCCAGTGGCTTTTAAACCCCAAAATACATTAAAGACTGGTTCATCCCAAAGATCCAGTCCCCCGGCACAAACAGAGTAATATTGTGTAAGCTGTTCAGTGTCAGGAGGGTGATCAGTCTTACATCGGGGAAACTAAACAGCCACTGGCCAAAAGGATGGACCAGCACAGAAGATCAACATCAGGCCAGGATTCTGCGGTCTACACTCATCTCCAGGCCAGCGGTCACTCTTTCAGGGATGAAGATGTTCACATCCTGGACAGAGAGGAACGATGGTTTGAGAGAGGAGTAAAGGAGGCCATCTTTGTGAAAAGAAACCGTCCATCATTAAACAGGGGCGGAGCCTCCGTGTTCAACTGTCCCCCTCTTACAATGCTGTGATTGCTAGTATTACCCAGCCTCCTGTGAATAACAAACAGTTGTTGTCCACTGTTTTCATCAGTCTTTGTTAAAGAAATCAGGTCTCACTTGTAAACGAGTCCCTGAGGCTCATTGGGATTAACCTGTAGAAATAAAGGTTGAATGAACAAAAACGGAACCAGTGTGGACACCAGAGACGTGCAGTCAGGGGAGGCAGTGCCTCACCTGTCATCATGACAACTAAAATACTGACAGTTGTAGATGAACAGATGCAGAGATATATTCATCAATTAAAACGGATTCCTCATTTTTCTGGACTGAATAAAACGTGCATTGAATTTAATGAAATGTAACGTGAGACGTCATTTATCTTTGACCCATCAAAATGAATGCGGTCATTTATTTACAGAATCAAAGTTTAACATCAAACATTTACATTAATTTGGCAAAATATGAAAATAACAACATAATCAATCAGGAAAACCATACGGCCATGATTTTCCGTTGCTTCACCACAGACATTTATGAAAACTGTACAGTTATGATCAATTATCCACACGGCGGTGGATGAGCACTATACACAGACATTTCTAAATGTCTGGAAGGATTTCTACTTTAGAGAAGAATTTAAAGATGGGATGAAGTTTAAAGGGAGTAAAAGATGGTATGTGAGGGGAAGTGTTCACCAGAACCGACACTCTCCATCAGAACCCAGCCTTCCTCGGTACGCTTCGGTAGGAAACTTGACTCATTACCTCTCTGAAGATTAATCAGCAGATATGGAGGTCCAGTTAACGCTACCTGTCCAGCGTCTCCATAGGATGGCTGTGACTCGTCCGAAGTAGTGACGAGATTCCGTCCGACACCAGCTCACCTCAGCAATAGCAATAATCCAACTCTGAGGAGCCTTATCATGCTGGACTTCTGTTCTCCCCAACAACTTCTCAGCGCAGAACCGAACTGCTCAGAAGCTTCACCGAACTGCACTTCTCCGCGCAGAACTGAACTGAACTCAACTCAACTCTCCTCAACTCTGAGAGAACTAGGAAGTACTGGCATTTTTAAGAGCTCTTTTCCCGGTTCATTTGATCGTCCCGGATTGGTCCAAAACAACCAGACAGGGGTGTGTTTTGTGATGTAAGAGGGTTACTAAAAGTCAGAAGACAGCAAGAATGTTATTGAACAGATTAAACTGTTCTCACAGACAGAGAGAGTTTTGTTTTGGCGAGTTTTAGAAACCGGTGCAAAAACCCCCCTGTTGACGTCTGAGAGGATGTAAAAACAAGGCAGTTGTTCCAACACATGTCTGCTTCGACTCCTGACCTCGGAAACGCACACTTGCTCATTCAAAGACAGAAATCAGAAAATGCATAAAAATCTGTAACAGACCTTAACATGAATTCTAACTCTGCATAAGCATTAAAAATCATTACACTGTTTCACAGTTAATAAAATTGATTAGTTCACTGCAACATCTAAAATGGTTTGAACTAAGACACTTTGATTATCAACATTTGTAAAATAGTAATGATAATAAAAAGAGAGTGTTCTTCCACTTGATTTTCAAGAAAGAGAGTCTCAGGATGGGTGAACCTGTATTTCTGGATTCAAATCAATGAAATGACAGTTTCTGTCCCACAAGGTTCTTAAGGTCAAGGGTTTTGACCTTAGGCTTAGTTTTGACATCAGGTTAAGTTCACTACACAGTGATGAGAGAAAATACATTTGACCACCTGACTGTTCTGTAAAAGTGTTTTTATGAAACTTGTCTGAATTATTTCAACACTTCAATGGTCAAAATTGCAGAATTTACTCATTGTCTGTTCAAGCAATGCAGGTGAGGCCGTGTAGTGCTCTGATTCATCTCTGGGGGCATTCTGTCATACAATATATGAAGTACGCAGTTGGAGCATGCCCATTGCTGTCTCTCTTTATATCACAAATATACATGTTTGATTACACATGTTCTGCACATGCTGATGTTCTACAGTCTGTCTAATATATTGAACTAATTTGTGAGACATATTTCTTCTTTCTAATCGGTTATAATCCACGCTGAAAAACACGAGGTGCGGCAGAATATACCTTGCTACACCAATAGGGGGCAGTGCTGCCCCATAGGGACAATGAAGCAGGTGCTGCTGTTCAGTGTAAAATACTTCCACACAGCGACATGTTTAGATGAAAAGTTTGTTAGCTGTTAGCCACAGTGCTGCTGCTCAGTCCTCACGTTGTAGCTGCTGCAAACTATGGACTGGATTTCCTGAATGTGAGGCGGGTCTTATTACTCTGGGTTCATGAGACACGCCTCCGTTCAGGAAATCCATTCCATAGTTTGAAGCCAACATGCATCATGGATCGGAAAATCCGATACGTAAATTATGCTGGTATTGGAGGCCGATACCGATACTGGATCGGATCTGCCCCATCCCTACTTTTTATTAGTATTGATTTTATCTGTTTAACTCATCGTTTTATTGTTTTAAATTGAGTTTTTAGTTCATTGTGTGCTTGACTTTGTAGCTTTGTTTTTATGCTTTTATCTTTGTTTTTTGTTTTTTTTACTGATGTTCAGCACTTTGTTTCAGCTGTGGCTGTGTTAAAGCACTTTATAAATAAAGTTGTTGATGATGATGATGATGTTAATCTCCACAGTTTAACTCCTACACACTTGAATATCTTGAACCAAAAGCAGTAAGGTTTTTTGTATTCTCTGTTCCATTCCAGTCCAGCAAAACACTACACTACAAACATTCACATCAAATTCCTCAGTCATCGGCGCAGCGCTTGTGTACGTGATGGGGTGAAACTTAAAAGTAGTTTTTGTACCAGCCACGAGGGGGTGCTCATTTTTTGCAAATTCAATATGCAGCTTCCGGTCCCCCCCTCTCAGTATCACGGTTTGGGACTGATAGGTGATAGTAATATGTGATTGCATCTTCAGTTTGTTAGTGTTGTGTTAATCAGGTGGACTCCCTGTTTTAAAAACCACAAATGAATTCTGGGTTTATTTGTTTCAAACATGCTCCTCTGTGGAGGCACGCAGATGTAGTAGTGCCTGATGGAGCAGCTACTGCATCTGATCTTTTGTTCTCTCCATGTGCCAGTGGCCTTAAGAACGACTACAACAAGGAGACGTTTACATTAAAGCACAAGATTGACGAACAGATGTTCCCCTGCAGATTTGTGAAAATAGGTAAGCTGCTGCTTTAGAAATGGCTACACTTGAATTTGTAAACAGTATTTGTTTCAGTCCCTTACTTGTTGATCCTTGGTCTCAGTGCCTCTGATGTCTTGGGGTCCAAGTTTTAACTTCAGCATCTGGTACGTTGAACTGCATGGAATCGAAGACCCTGAAGTGGTGCAGCCCTGCCTTAACTGGTACAGCAAGGTAAGAACTGGAGCCTGGAGGGTAGGGCTGGGTATCATTAAAAAAAATTCAGTGTCAGTACCGGTACCTTCACTTCGATATCTGTTCCTGAATGGTACTTTTTTTCTGTACCAATTTTATGATTTTATTGATTTTAGTTTATTTAATTGTGGAAGAAGCTTTATTAGCGCACGATGTCCAAGACAAATTTCCCCTCGGGGACAATAAAGTATACATGGATCTAGCTATCTATCTGTAATTGACATCAATTCTAACAAGAACAATATTACGTTACACATTACAGTACAAATCTTGAGTTTTATTTTTTAACTTTGGTATTTTTCCATTCTAAGCAGTTTTCTTACATAAAAATAAACAAATAATTTTCAGGTCAAAAGACCAGTTGCCTAAGTCTGGAGGAGGGATGGGCTTACCATGCCTTAAAGACTATTGCATATCAGCACAGATAAAACCACTTATCCTCTGGTGTAATTTTGATTATGTAGCAAAATGGAAGTCCATAGAGTTGTCACTGGTAAGTAAACCTTTACAGAGTTACTAAGTAATCCAAGGGCTATTAAACAATGCAACTTTCAGAACCAATGGGTAGAATTTTCATTGATTTGGTTAGACCTGGTCAAACAATTTAATCTTCAAAAAGAAATTTGTGTGTTAATGTGGCCAGTACATGACTCTATGAACCAGCTCAAATCGATGGGAGTTATGTACAATGGGAAAGGCAGGGAATTACTACATTGTGCCTTCTATTAGATAATCTGGGACTTGTTGATTTTGAAACTGTCAGAAAGATATGGCTTAGGTCTTTATTTAACCCCAAATTGATGTAAACTTAACATAAGTTCTTTTCTCGTGTTTAAAGTTCATCAAATCAGTTAATACACACAGATATTCCAAAATAATCACAAATTCAATTGATTTTATGTATTCTAAAAATAATCTGATATATATGATGAAGATTTTGCAAAATAAAAGTTAACTGAATAACAAATAGCTTTGCATCAAAGGTCTAATTGATTATTCAAATTAGTGGAACTTAAAAGGCAGACTTAGGACTGGTTTCTGATTGTGAAGTGGTTAAAATTGTATCTAAGGTGAGCTAAGTTTGTCTGATAAGTTGTGATGTAGGTTCACCAGCAAGGTGTCTCTCCTACCAGGACGATGGTCAGAGCATGGTTCTGACAGCTGCTTAAATGGTACCAGCCTAAGATGTTCCAGTGACTGAGAGGCTGAAGTATCCTCAAAGTTCACCTGTCATCGTTAGAGGGACAGAGGTCCATATGGTTGTCAGCTGGGATTTACCACTCTGCTGTGTGGTGGTTGCCTGGTAGACAGCTCTCAGGTTAATGCCTGGTTCTGGTTCTGCTGGGTAACTTCTGTATCATTTGTCCCGTCTCTGCTCAAAGTCGTCTGCAGAAAGGATGCTTCTCTCCTTTCTGAGGTAAAGTGCAGAAGCTGAGTTTCTTCTCTCTCCAGTTCTCTGTGCAGAAGTGTGTGTTTCAGAGTGTCTCTTCAAAGTGTGTGTTTTTCTCCAAAGTTTTCTTAGAAAAAGTGAAACTAACTGTCTGTGTGGAACCGAGATGAAGGTCCACCTCTCGGAACAGGTGGTCTTAACTCTTGGCTTTGTTTTTTCATAAAGGCCTATTAAATAAATCTAGAGTCCCTTTTCTCTGCCTTGAAAGTTTTCCCTTTAAAAGAGAAAATAAGACAAATGTATTATCTTAAAGAAAGATGACTTAAAACGCACATTTTCATGGATAAACATTCAGGTATGACATATTTAGGATTGAACTTAAAACATACAATGTTTTACCATTGGTGTTGCTGTCCATCTCCTGAAAAGGAATGTCATTAAACAAAAGGGTTCTTATGGTGTTATCTTCATGGGAACGAGTCTGGAAGAAATACTCCTTTTCGATAAAGGAAGATCTCAACGTAGTGAGTTCGGATGTTTCAAAAACTCCAAGGTCAGTTGAACAAAATCTCATTAAAACGATCTGTCAGTTTCATGGAAAATTAGTTCATATTGGCAGTGAGGTTAACACAGTGACAGTTTTTTTATTATTACATTTACATTAGTGTCAACTGAGAAGTTTGTGTGTTGAATATTTGTTAAACAATGTCTGTTCGTTCCCAAGGGAATAGGTGAATCTTACGAAAAACAGTTTCAAATACAAAACACAGCAATGATGTTTGTTTAAGGTGAGGTGAACTATTTTTCTGAGATGAGGTGTTCTTTTTCTGAGGTGGTGTTCCCCTACACTAATACCATAGTAGTAGTAAGTAGTAGTTTATTTTAGTATGTATATGTGTGTATGTATATATGTGTGTATGTGTATATGTATATATGTGTGTATGTGTATATGTATATATGTGTGTATGTGTATATGTATATCAATCAACCTTTATTTATACAGGTAAATCCCATTGAGCCTCGAGGACTCATTTACAAGAGAGACCTGATTTCAACAAAGAAAGATGACAACAATGGACAACAGCAACAACAATAAACAGTTATAAAAACTCATACTACAGTTTTTTTTTTTGTTTTTTTTTAACAAATAGGATGGCTAAAAGGAAAAAGGTAACAAAACCAAAAAAACTACTAGATTCCGAGACAAATGTATAAAACTAAAAACAGGAACATGTCTGCATTGGTCCCTGCCAGGAGTCCAACAGATTCTTAAAGCCACTTAGAGAGGTCAAAGGTCGAGAGCTTCAAATCTTTTTGTAAGATATTCCAGGAAACAGGAGCGGAGTAGGAGAAGGCCCTTTTGCCTAGTTCAGTCCTCACTGAGGGAACACTGCAGGTAATAATGTCCTGAGAGCGCACTCCGTAGCTGCACTCACGCAGAGACATGTAGGAGGAGATGTATGAAGGCAGCAGACCAAGAAGTGATTTAAAGATGAAAATGTACCAGTGAGAGAGTCTGCGTGAAGTTAATGATGTCCAGTTAACCAATGAATACAGGGTGCAGTGGTGGGTACGATAATCACAGCCAGTTATGAATCTTAGTGCACCATGATAGACAGCATCCAACATCTGCAGCATCCAACATCTGCAGCATCCAACATCTGCAG